GGGGGGGGGGAAGGCAGCATTTGCTTTAGCCCAGAGGGTCAGGAAAGGAATCAGAAACAGGGAGTAAGTGCAGATACTTGGAACGGTTGAAACCACATGTATATACATTGTTGATTGTAAACTGATGGTCTGCTCTGTAAACCCTCACCTAATTCACAGTAAAAACCTTACATTAAAAAGAAGAAAAACTCTCCATAAGGCTCTGTACCATGAGAAGAGGTTTGTGTAGACTCTATAGGGCTGGTAGATGCTCTACAAATCTCTCTACCTGGTGGTGTATTGGGCTACGAGTTCGACTGCTAACCACAAGGTCAACAGTTTGAAACCACCAGCCACTCCACAAGAGAAAGAGGAGGCTTTCTACTCCCTTAAAAAATTACCCCATGGGGTCGCTGTGGGTCTGCATCTACTCCATGGCCATGAATTTGACCACTGAGGATGTCATTCCAAAAGGTGGCCACCAGGTGGCGAACAAACCCCGTTGTTAAAAAATATATATCCGCGCAGCCTTTAACTGCTTGCTCTCCAGGGTTTTCTGAGCCTGAAAATCTTGAGAGAAGACAGCCTCATCTTTCTCCCGGGGAGCAGCTGATAGGTTTGAACTGCTCAATCCTGACAACAAGCAACCTCCTATGTCACAGGGCTAAGCACTGCCCGGTCCTGTGCCAGCTGTGTCTTGCTGTCATCGCTGTGTTTGAGCCCCCAAAGTTCAAGGGGAGTGGGCTTGGGGTCTTTCGTTGGTGCCCACCAGTTCGTTTCAAGCCTATGGGCACAAAACAAAGAAGCCTCCCCGCCCCCCACCAGGTGTCGGTCTTATCTTTACAAAAGCAGTTGGGACAGCCAGGGGTGGGGTGGGGTGTCAAACTACCTACCTTCTGCCTCTCAGCCAGGCACTTGGGCATAACTGGTTATTAACGCGGTTATAAACCTTTGTGTCTGACACCAGGCACTAACGGCGGTGCCTTTACCTGTTTGGGTAGGGTTAGGGGGACCCAAGTGGGTGGGATTCCTGGCGATCACCCACCCACTCAGGCGGGCAGACCTGGAGCTCCGGGGACAGGTGAGCAGCCTGACCCAGCTTGAACCTTTCCTCACTCCCCTGGCAGGGCCCCCGGGGCAGATGGGACCCCCAGGGCCTGCAGGCCCCCCCGGCTCCAAAGGTGACCCGGGACAGACCGGAGAGAAGGGCTCCACGGGACCTCCAGGTGAGGACAACGCCCCTTGATGGGGGCCAGCTGGACTGTCTTTGCCACTGGAGCTGGGGGCATCCCACAAGCCCCCTGACCCGGCTGGTGAGCAGCTGGCCTCCAGGAGGCTGGGCTCACCCTCCCAGCCTCCACCTCCGCTGCCACCCAAGTTGTAAGCCAAACTCACCACCTAGAGGGACCCAGCAGGGAAGAGGCCCTGGGGAGACAGCCTGCCAGGTCCCAGGGAGCTGCCTCCTCTGGCCTCTCTCCCTCCTTACACCTGTGGGAGAGGGACACCAGGCAAGGAGGTGCCCAGCGTGTCCAGGCTGGCTCCCCACCCCAGAGGCCAGCTAGGCTGAGAGGGCAGAGTGACACACATCAGCCTTCTGCCTCCCTCCCCTCCCACCCTGCTCCCCTGCACAGGGCAGGAGAGGGGAAGCCGCCTCGGTCACTTTCCCGGACATGGCCCTGAGACTTCGGTCAGGAGGCCGTCACTACCCAGCGGGGTGGCCCGGCCACCCCCTTCCCCGCAGCCGGTTCCCTGCCCGCCTCACACCAGGCCCAGCTCCTTAGGGTGACACCTTCTCCCAAATGCAGGGTTCCTGGGGCCACCAGGGCCCCGAGGGCTTCCTGGAGAGATGGGGCGCCCCGGCCCCCCTGGCCCTCCTGGCCCAGCAGGGAGCCCGGGGCCCTCCCCCGGCGGTCCCCAAGGTGTCCTCTACTCCCTGCAGCCGACCACAGACAAGGATGGTGAGTGCCCTCGGAGCTCGGTGGGGGGAGGTCGGGGGGGCGGGGGCAGGACCCTGTTGCTGTCTCCCAGGGGCTTGGCTCTGCACCCCCAAAACGTAGGGAAGTGGAACTCATTTAGAGAGGGGGGGATAGATTTCAGAGTGAGGTTCGTCTTGGGTGGATCTTGGTGGTGTGCAGTGCTAAACCCTTGACTCGTGGCCCCCAGGAGGCCTGTCCCCACCTCAGTGCTCTGTACCCTGAGTCCTGCCCCTTAGAGGTCTCTACTCCTTGGCCTGTATCCCTGTCACCCGCCTGTGACAAAGCACACAGAGCCTTGATCTGCCAGCCGGTGTTTGCTGGGTGCCACATGAGTGTCCAGTCACAGTGGCCGTCAGTGGGCCTGCAGCAGTGAGCCCAGCGCTGGCCCTGCCTTCTGGGCCTCCCTGCCGGGCACAGGGGGACCTGACTGCACAGGGACAGGGGAGAGGGTGCCATCCAGGGACGGCAGGATCTGGAAGCGTGTGAGGGCATTGCTTTAGACGAATGGTTTCAAGAGGAGGATGCCGGAATTGACGTTCAATTCTGAGACCAGAGGACCGGCGAGGGGTGCTTGGGCATGCCCAGGCACGGAGGGGATGGGTGGGTGGGCACTGGGCCTGCAGGCCTCAGTGAAACTGCTTGCTGGGGGATGGGCCCACTGAGGAGAGTCCACACCATGCCCAGGACGTGCCCTGTGAAAGTAGCAGTGGGTATAGGGTGTTCGAAAACCCAGCGAGCTGGGTGCAGCAGGAAACTGCAGGGTGCAGGGCTGGCAGCGTCTTAGTTCTTGGGGAGCAGGGATTCTGGGGGGCAGGCCCCTCAGCCACAGCGACTTGCTCTGCCCTCTGAGATTGGGGGTGTTGGTCCACAGCCCTGGCCAGCTCTCTGAGAGGGTCAGCTAGGCCCAGAGCCCCTTCCTCGGCCGTGGCAGCCCCATAATCCTCTGGGGGCTTCTGTATCTCCGGGCAGTGCAGCCCTCCCTGATGGAGTTGCCCCCAGCCAGTGCCCCCATAGGAGGGTCTTGCTGGAGTGGTCTGGAGGTCTTGGGGCTGCCCTCCGGGCTCTCCTGAACTCTCTGGAGTGTTTCCTCACCTGTACCACGGCACAATGGTCTCCGAGCCTCAGGGAGGGAGGGAAGAAATGACACTGGCCTCAGGGTCAATGCCCTGTCCCTGGGGCCACCAGAAGGTGGGATGGCTTGTCTTGACCCTGCAGGTCCCTGGGTCCCCCTCAGCCAGGGCCCTCACACTCGGGGTCTACAGAGGAGGGCAATGCCCGGTGGGAGCATTCGGGAAGCTGGAGGTGCCCAGCACAGGCAGCTTGTGGGGGCTGTGCCCGACAGCCTTGCAGGGCAGACATGGGCCTCTGGTGGGGTGGGGTGCTCCAGGGCTGAGAAGTTTGTGAGCAGGAGGTCCTGGGATGGTGGTGGTCCACCCGTGGATGTCCAGGGTAAGGGTACTCCTGGGGTAGAGGCAGGAGTGGGCGTGGGCCAGGAGCAGGTGACCCTGGGTCAGTTTCGGTGGGTGGGGCCAAGCAGTAGCATTTTCTGGTCTCCGGCTGCTCTGAGTCTGAGGGTAATACAGGGAGGTTGCATGAGGCTTCCAGACCAGGGGCGGCCCCCCTGTGTGATCACTGTGGTGGAGGCAGCCCAGAGGTGAGCAGGGGGGGCTTCCTGGAGGAGGCATCAGGGTGGGCTTGAAGGGTGGAGTGGAGGAGGGGCTGCTGTGGGCCAGACCTGAGTGCCCAACAGAGGATCTGTGCCTGCCCTCTGCCCTCTGGCAGTGGGAGGTGGAAGCGAAGGTGTCTGCTGGCCAGCGGGGTCACAGGTGGCTGCCCGCTTGGGGGCCTGGCTACCTCACAGGTCCCTCTGCTCTCCCCACAGATGGAGACTCACAACTGGCTTCTGCTGTGGTGGACACAGTGCTGGCGGGTGTCCCGGGTCCCCGGGGCCCTCCTGGACCACCAGGTAAGGAAAAGGCAGCGTCCCAGCTGGCCTGGGTGGGCCTTGAGGTGGCTGAGGCAGGTGGGGGCACCTGGCAGGGTGCTGGGGCTGTGGTCTGCCCCACCGCTTCAGACTCTCCATGGGCTCTCCATGGGCCAGGGGTCGGGGTGGACTAGGAGCCCCAGTGCTTCTCGGGCCTGTTCCCACACAAAGGGGCCATAGGCTGTCCTTGTGTGGGCCGGAGTGGGGATGCCATGAGGTAACAGGCAGAGACATGAAGTCAGCATCGGGGCCTCTAAGAGGCCCCGGCCAGCAAGGCCAAGGCCAAAGAGGTGAACCTGGTCCCTGCCGGAGGCTGACCCTTGTCCTCCTGGAAGCCTCAGGGGGGAAGGGAGAGGGTAAGGGGCTGGTTGGCTGCTGCCTTGGCCCCACCACCCTGCCAGCTGTGTGGACCGTGTGCCTGACAGTGTCCTCGTAGCGAGAGGAAGAGCCCCAGGTCAGGAGCAGGCTGGCAGGGCGCCGGTCTGCAGGGCCGGGCCCCCGGTTTGCATCTCTGCCACACACACCTTGCGTCTCTGGTGAGAGGCAGATCCTGAGTGAGCACTGTGGGTGCTAGCTGCGGCTCCCAGCTCCCATGATTTCCTGGAGCGAGAGGGGTCCCTGGCTGGTGGCAAGGGATGCAAACCCAGAAGATGCCTGCCTCCCTGGGGAGTGGGAGCCTGGGTCTCTCGGGAGGGAACGGGTGAGTTTGAACAGACACTCCGAGGAGGGGAGACAGGAGCCCTCTAGGGCCTTCTAGAAGCTTTGCCTCGGCCTCCCAGCACGCTGATGGTGGCTTCTGGAGACTGAGCCAGATCACGCGTCCCACCCACTTGTGCTTGACCCTGAAGGCCCCTGGGTCAGCCAAGGCCCTCACAGTCATGGTCTACAGAGGGCGGCAGTGCCCGGTGGGAGCATTTGGGCAGCCACGGGGGCGCCACCCTGGCAGGCTGCAGCCCTGAGGACAGAGGCTCAGGCTCCCGCACAGCACCCCTCTGGCACCCGCCCGGGGGAGTGGTGGTGGGGGAGACAGCAGGCTGCACTCCCACAGGGCACGGGCAGTGGCTGGTGGCACAGGTGCTGGAAGGCTTCTTGGAGGAGGTGGGGCTAGTCCTAAGATTGTAGGAAAGGCCTTGAGGGTGGGCTGGGGGGTGTCTCAGGAGCCCCGGTGATGGAGTGGGGGTCAGAGGGAGCTGGATGGCTCAGAGCTGACTCTGAGTGACCAGCGGGAAGCTGCTTTTGTGACCCAGGCAAGGTGGGTGGCCTCTGTGGTTCTGAGGCGAGGCAGACCAGACGTGGGGAGTTTGGCAGGGTGGGGGGGAGGAGCAGGTTGGGGTCGAGGGGTCTGGGTCATGAGGGATGCCCAGGGGGTGGTTTGGTTTGCGGGGTGGGGGGGGGTGTCAGTGGCCAGTGGCTGTAGACGCTTCCTACTCCCCACCAGAGACAGATCCAGGGGAAGTGCTGGGGCCAACGGCGGGGCTGTGGGCATCTCTGGCCCTGACTGACCACCTGTGGCTCTGCCCACAGGTCCCCCGGGCCCACATGGCCCCCCAGGGCCCCCAGGTGCTCCTGGATCCCAGGTAAGTTCCTCTTTCTGGCCACAAGGGATGAGGGTTGGGAGGGCACTGTCTCTCTGAGAGAAGTGAAGCCAAGCCTCCGTCACTCGGTGTGTCCGGAAGGAGGGACCCCTGGGCAGTCCCCCTGGCCTGAGTGCGGATTCCTGCTCAGCAGCACCCCCAGTCTGTGCCAGGTGGTCAGCATCATGCCCATTTCATGAAGGGGTGACCTGAGACCCAGAGAGTGGGCTGTTACAGGGAGCGAAGAGGAGCTGGCATGGCTGCCAGTGGCCACCCCACAGCAGCCAGTGCAGAGGACATGTGAGCAAGGACCCACCCCTGCTCTCTGTGCCCTGCCAGTAATAGAGGGGTGTGGTGCATATGTGTGCTAGGCAGGGTTCTCGAAGTGTCTCAGGACACTTAGGAATATATACATATATAATATGGAATATAACAGCTAATTCGTCCACACAGCAGTACAGAGGGCTCAGTTCAATTCACTTCCATGGAACAGTTAATATACTGGAAGTCCTTCAACTCACGAGGGTTGTTAGGTCTTGGCTGCTGGGTCCAAGATCAAGGAAGCAGATAGTTGAGTCTTCCCTCAGGCAATGCAGGCAGTCTGCCCACTGGCAGCAAACAGCAGGGCGGGTCACCAACAGTCAGTAGCTCGAGAGCTTGGGGAAACAGACCCAGATGGGATATCGAACTCAAGCAATGCAAGATGACAGGATCACCAGCTTCAAGCTCAAGCAATGTACGCACCAGCAGCGTGGCGAAGTAGGTCTTGAAGGAGCCTCAAGTTCTAGCAACATGATCCCCAGGTTGGCTGTCTCACAGGTGAGGTAGAGAACTAGCTAAAGCAGTTGCATGCTGGTCCAATCACCAGACAGCAAGAAAGACGGGGGCGGGCCTTGCAGAGCCATTTATCTCTTTGCCGTCCAATCAAACTGCGACCTGATTCATCCCACGTTCCTATTGGCCAGGTTGGCACAGTAAACCTCCCTATCACAGGGGGCAACACTACAGAGAGCAGTGAGGGAGAGGATGAGGAAGGACTAGCCTCGGGTGAGTGCCAGCACAATGGACGGTCAGTGAGGAAGAGGCTGTGTGACAGGGCGACAGCTGGGAGGAACTGACCCAAGACCTGAGGAGCGAGGAGGAACAGCAGCCCTGCAAAGCCCTTGAGACAGAACATTCTAGATTGAGGGAAGGAAGCCGTGAGGCCTGAGGCAGGCTGGGGACTGGGAGGAGAGGGGCCCCGGTGTGAGTTATGTCAAAGTGGATGTGGACATGTTGGTCTCAGGGCGCAGAGTCACACCTGGAAGGGTCAGGGCTGCCTTCAGGTGGGGGTGGTGGGAATGGCCATGCAGAGGGTCCTCTTTTGGAAGTGGAGTCCACAGCTCTGACACTGGGATGACATTGCAGCAAGGGGACAGACTGGAGGGGGCACTTCCCAGGGGTCTCCCTGAGCACCTGGAGAATCCTGGGCCATCAGCTGAGACCGGAGGGGGCGGGAGTTCCACAGATGGCCAGCTGGGGTGGTGAGCCAAGTGGAGGTGTCAGAAGGCAGCGGACCGCACCATTCCGGAGATGTGGGTGCAGTCAGGCGTGGGCGCCAGCACCCTCTAGGGGTGGCATCGATACTGCTCATCTCCGGGTCCTAGGCTGTTCTTTGCCCTTCTGCCTGATAGCTCTCCCTGCCATCAATCCAGTCCTTTCCGGCATCCAGGGACCCTCCAGGGCAGGGCAGCACTGCACCTGTAGGTTTCTGAGACTGGAACTCTCTACGGGAGTAGAAAGCCCCAAACTGCTTGACTTGCGTGGGAGGAAGGCCCTCCACCAGACAGATGGACATGCTGGCTGCAACCATGGGCTCAGGCATAGGCACCATTGGGAGCACGGCGCCGCCGCAGGACCGGGCAGCGCTCCGCTCTGTTGACATAAGGTCGCTGTGGTCCGGAACTGGCTAGATGGGGCCTAACTACCACAGCAGCAAACGTGAGAGCTGAGCTTGGTGCTGCCCCACTTCACAGGAGCGCAGACAAGGGCTCAGCTGGGCCCAAGACCCTAGGCCAGCCCATGGGGAGTGATCCAGACCCTCCGGCCTCCACCCTCGACACCATCCTCCTCCCAGCCCACCTTTGGACCCTGGTGCTCTGCGAGGAAGGGTCTGAGGACTTGGGCGAGGGTGGGCAGGGCCTGACCGGATTTGTCTGGTTTCCTGCAGGACCCAGCCGGAGAGCGTGGCCCGGCGGAGCCATCTGTAAGTGTGGGTCTTTGCGGCTGGGTGCATCAGGGTGGGGGAGCCTGTCCTGGGCAGCCTTGCCCAAGGGGTAGGCTCTCCCAAGCTTGGTCTCTCCAGCCCCATCAAGATGGGGCAGGGGGAGCGAAATCCAGGCTGCTCAAACTGGGGAGGGGGCCTTAGGAAGGGACCCTCAACTGGGCTGTGGGAGGAAGGGCTGACATAGACTCTTAGGGGCGTGGAGGACATAGGAGACACAGAAGAGCATCTTAGGGTCTCTTAGAAGAGAGCCTCGTCCCTGGGGCAACTCCAGGTGTGACCTCAGACTCTTGGGTCAATGTCCTTTGGGACTCTGGGTTCTTGGTGCCTAAGGCTCAAGAAGGTCAAGGACTTCACCCAAAGTCACACAGCCACACTGGCAAGGGCTGACTTCCTCTCATGAGGGTTAGCCCCTAAGTCTTTGGCCTGACCACAGCCACGGCAGGTGACACTGAAGAGGAGAGAGAAGTGGCCCCCCCACCCTGCATGGGCCGTTGAGCTGTGGCCTTATTTCCTAGGGAGAGCCTGGCGTGAAGGGAGAAGGAGAGAAGGCCACAGAGGTAAGGCTGCCGCCTCCGTCCCCAGGAGAGGGGTCTATGCAGCGTGGCTGCCTTTGGAAAGGCAGCCCCCACACAGTACTGCGCGCTGCGCTGGATGGGTTATCTAAAACTCCAAACTAAGCTCACTGCCAGGCGGCCTGCTCCAACCCAGAGCGACCCCACAGGACAGGATAGAACTGCCTCGGTGGGTTTTCTGAGACGATAACTCTTTGCAGGGTTTGAAAGCCTCATCTTTCTCCTGAAGAGAGGGCGGATGGACTTGAACTGCTGCCCTTGCAGTTAGCAGCCTGATGTGCTGTCCACTACGCCACCTGGGTGGATTATAAAACCAGATACTTACTCAGTTCTGAGGACTGGGGGCCTGAGGTCAGGCCTTTGATTGCATGAATTCTGTCTGGGGGCGTGGAGGATAAGCCAGCTCCCAACTGTCTCTCTCGGCCTCTCCTCTTTGATAAGGACATGCTCCTTCTGGATTAGGACCCGCCAAGACCCTTCTTCAAAGACCCTCTTTCCAAGTACCAAGGGCTAGGGTGGCCACACCTCCTGTCCCTCCGGGATGGGCGGGAGCCATCTCAGCAGGGAGCTTTCTGGTTTTTGTGTGTCCAGGTTTTAGGTACATTCTCGGCGCCGACAGGGCTGGCGTGTCCTCGCCGTCCAGGGCAGCCAGGTGGGCTGGTCTGGGACAGGGGTGTTGTCCCTTACCCCTGTTCCTTTGATAATGACCTGTCTTCTCAATTAATCAGCATCCCAGCCCAGCTCTTAGGGCCCGGGGATCTCCTGTGCTTGCACAGACTGGGCCCCCTAAAGAGAGTCTTGTCACCCTACCTCCCTTCCCAAGACCAGGGACATCTCCCCCATCCCAACCCCCTCTTCTCACTCTCATGCTTTCTCATCTGGAGTGGCCACACTCAGACTGCCCTGGGCCCCTTCTGGACCTGGGACTGGGTGAGCGAATGGATGGGTGTGAATTAGGCAGATGGAGGAAGCGACACCTGTGGGGTCCCGTGAGCATGGGCGATGCTCTGTATACACCTATCACAGTGTCTTCTGGGAAGGTTTGCCAGGAGAGTAGCCCAGCTACCCTGGAAGAAGAACCCCAGCCAGGCTCAAAGCCAACAGGCTGAGCTTGAAGCCCAGGTCAGCCACTTGTCTGGGTGTCCTCTGGGCTGTTGGTTATTCTCCCAGGGCCTGACACACAGTAGATGTACAAGTGACGGCTGCTTGTAGGGAGGAAGAGTGGTGACGGGTGGAAGGAGGTGGTGGCAGGTAGAGAGGGTAGCAGAATGACCCCACTCCCTCCCTGAAGCTGACCCTGACCTGGCCCATTTCCCACCTGCCAGGGTGAGGGGGTGCAGCAGCTGCGGGAGGCCCTGAAGATCCTGGCAGAGAGAGTGCTCATCCTGGAGCACATGATTGGGATTCATGGTGAGTGTAAGGGCCTGGGGACAAGTGGGCCTACCCTGTCACTTCCACCCCCCGCTCCTGTTACCCTTTACCATTTATCAGGGTGGTGACTGACACCTTTCTCCAGATTGCAATTTGTTGAATGGCTAGTGTGGATAGATGAATGATTGGGTAAATGGATAACTGAATGGATGGGTAAATGAATGGGTAGGTGAATGAATGGATGGATTGATGGATGAATGAGTGCATGAGTGGGTGGATGGATGGTTGAGGGGATGGATGGATGAATGGATGGTTGAATGAGTGTGTGTGTTGCTTATGCAGGCACAGGGCTTCTCTCAGTGGCCCTCTGTGGCCAGGGTCTGGAAGCAAAGGGTCTTCCAAATATTCCTAAGGCCCTGGTGCCACGCCCCTCCTTCTGCTTTCCTTCCAGACCCCTTGGCTTCCCCAGAGGGGGGCTCCGGCCAGGAGACCGTCCTAAGAGCCAACCTCAAGATGAAGCGAGGTGGCCCCCCAGCTGATGGCACCCTTGCTGCCCTGCTTGGCCCACCCCCTGGGCAGAAGAATGCTGGCCATGCCAGCGGGAAGAAATAAGAGCCGCGTTCTCCAGGACAAGCCCGCCCCGGCCAGAGACCCAGCCCTAGAGCCTCTGCCTCTACTGGCTCTGGATGAAGTTCCAAGTGGGGCAGACTGGGCTCTGGGCATGAACGGTGATGTGGGACACTGACTTCTGGGGCCTGGGGGACAGATGGCACCTCCCATCTGGATAGGGTCAGACCCTCCCTTTGCTCCTGCCTCCCCCACCCCCTGCTGGAGATGGGGTCTGGGTGGACTTGAGAATCCTCATTAATACTCATTTATCAAGCCCTGCCTATGCCCAGGGCCCTGTACAAGGATCTTTACCGACATAGTCTCATTTAATCCTGAGGGGGTAGGGTTACTAGCCCCATTTCACACAGGGAAGAAACCAAGAGTAGAAATAACCTGCCCAGGCCAGGTCAGGATTTGAACCCAGGCCTCTCTACTCTGGTATTAGCTCAATCCTGCCTGCCCCCTCCCTTGACTCAGACAGCGAAGGAGCCGGGTCAGCACTCCCTTACGGCCAGCAGGTCCTGCCTGGCACCCTCTGGGCCACAGGACCCTGAGGCCCCTCTCTTCAGCCCCCTTCCCCAAGTCTGTTCCTTGGCTGGGTGTCCCCAGCCTGGCTGGTCAGTACTCTCTGGGGCCAGAGGGACCCTAAGTTAACCCCCGCCAGCCCTGTGGGCTCGGGAACTGGGCGAGAACAGCATTGGGGTCACCTCTCTATCTCACTGACTGCTCTCCGCAGCTGCAGCCAGGCCCTGGCAGGCCCCTCCCAGCTCTCACGACCCTGCAGGACAAGGCTGACCTGCCCCTGTGGGTTTCCAAGGCTTTCTACGCCCACATTCCTTATGGGAGTAGAAAACCTCCTCTTTCTCCCAACGTGCAGCTAGCTGGCGGTTTTGAACTGCTGACCATGCAGTGAGCGGCCCAACAGGTCAACCACAGCGTCACCAGGAGTGAAGGAGGATTTGGTGGGAAGCACACCCTGACGAGCCATGTCCTAGAGGGAGCCTACAGGCCCCGCCCCCAAACCAAACCACCAAACTCAGTGCCGCCTAGGTGATGGCCACTCACAGCGACCCCATAGGGCAGGGTCGAACCGCCCCTGTGAGTTTCCGAGACTGTAACTCTTCCCCGGAGTAGAAAGCCCCATCGTGCTCCTCCCAAGTGGACAGTGATTTCAAACTGTTAAGCTTGAGCCTCGCGGCCCAGTGGGTGAACCGCTGTACCACCAGGACTGGGAAATCGGCAGTGTCCGCAAGGCAACCCACACAGGAAGGCAGTAGCATCCCAGGCCCTGCACAGGCTCCGCCCGCCATGGTGTCCGCTCAGGGCCATTCCCGGGGCTCCTCTCTCTTTGGCCAGGACCAGGGACCCCACCATGGTAGCAAACTCAAAGGTGCTAGTGCCCCAGCCCAGCAGTGGAGACTTGTCTACCAGCGCTGGGGCGGGAGGGTGTGGGCTGGTCCCGCCCGGCCTGGCTGCCCCTCCCCCGGGCAGGCCGTGTCCACACCGGGGCCACCGCAGCGGGTCACCTATGGCAATAAAGGTGCTCTCCCCACGGGGGCTCTGGCGTCAGGTGTCAGTGGTAACGTGTGTGGGCGCGCGCGTGTCAATGTGGGCTGTGCTGGGCCGCTGGAGGCTCTGGGCACCCAGCCCACAGCCAGGAACCAAGGTGACCCCATGACCTGGGGGTCCAAGGGAGGGAGGTGACAGGAAAGTAAGGGAAGTTTGTGAAGTTCAACCTAGCAGGACCATGTCTGTCAGGGCAGGGTGCGGTCCCCAACTCTTGGAGTCCCTCCCCTGAAAGAGTGGGAAGGGAGAGACACCTCAGGCCTGGTGTGGGGGACATTCCGCCTAGCTGGTGCTCTAGTTGGTAACCTAAGGGGCCCCAGAGTACTCCCGAGTCACTCTGAGACCTTGTTTATGTGTGTTAGACGTTACTGTGTGCCCAGGCAGGAGCCCTGGTGGCCTAGTGGGTTACAAGTCAGGCAGAGATTCTCAACGTTGGCAGTTCAGAACCACCAGCCACTCCGAGGGAGAAAGACAGGGCTCTCTACTCCCATAAAGAGTGACTGTCTCAGAAACTCACAAGGGCAGTTCTACCCTGTCCTATAGGGTCCCTGTGAGTGGCATCGCCTAGATGCCAGTGAGATTTTTGTGAGTGTGCCCAGCACCCAGTCACAAACCAAAACCACGCACTGCTGGGAGTCAGCTCCCTGGTGGGTAGGTGATGTGGCCAGTTGCCGTGGACTGGATTCCAACTCATGGCCACCATAGCGGCACAGATTAACAGAAAGGTGGGTGGGTCAAGCCCACCCAGAGGTGCTGCTGACGAAAGGTCCGCTGCATTGCTTTCTAAAGATCAGAACCGTTAAACCAGTGGGGCTGCTCGACCCCACCAAGCGACCTGCGTACAACACTGGCCCTGTGCCCTCTCCTCAGCCGCGGCTGCGCCAGAACCCAGTGGGGCAGCCATTGAGTCAGTCCATTTGGGGGAGAGTCTTCCTCTTTTGCCCTGTCCCTCCACTTTACCAAGCATCAAGTCCTTCCCCAGGGACCAGCCCCTCCTGATAACTTATGCGAGAGGAAGTCACACCAGCCTCACTTCTAAGGAGCCTTCTGGCTGGACTTACCACCAAGAACTAAACAGGCTCACTCTTCTGCAGTTTTCCTGAGTCAGTGACCAGCCTTTACATACATGGGAGGCGATTAAAAACCTGGCTTGGTTAAAAAAAGAACTAATTCAGGGATGGGGGGCATGGCGGGGGGGACCTCAGGACATGTGCGGTAGGGTGGGGGGATTGCCTGTTACCCTGGCAGGGACAGCTGGGCATCTGCGTCTGTATTCTGATCGGGGATTGGTCCTAGCCCCTCTTACTACTCTTCCTGGAGAGGAGATATGAAATGATAGGTCTGTCTTTCAGTCTTTGGCTTATTAAGCAAATCTTCATTAAGTCCCTGCATGGATCCAGGCCCTGCCCTAGACCCTGGGGACCCTCAGAGACCAAAGGAGGCAAGAATCCCTGCCCATGGAGCTCATGAGTCCAGTGGGAGAAGTAAAACTAGGCCCTCAATGTATATCTATATCTGTGTCTCTATATCCAATCCATATCTGTATCTATATCCATACCCATATATACCTATCTCCAAATCTAATCTACACCTATAACTGAATCATCTATATCCATACACATACATATCTATATTCATATCTAAATCTATATATCCATATATATCTATATATCTGTATCTCTCTAAACCCACTGTGAAGGCTGGAAATCTTGATGGGGACACACCTGTCTTTTTGGTGGGTGTGAATGGTTAGCAGCCCGACGCTTAACCAACAGCGCCCCCAGAGGCCCTTCCACATACATATTTAAAGGACGCTATGTGGCTGGCAACCACGTGGAAAGTACTGTGAACTGCCAAAAGACCAACAAATCGGTCTTGAAAGAAGTTCGGCCAGCATGCTCCTAATCAGGCCAGGATGGCGAGACTTTGTCTTACCTACATTGGACACGTTGCCAGGGCAGGTCAGTCCCTGGGGAGGGACATCGTGCTTGGTAAAGTGGGGGGGGCAACGAAAAAGAAGGCCCTCAGCGAGATGGGGGGGGCACAGTGGCTGCAGCCACGGGCTCAGGCAGAGGAACCACGGCGAAGACGGTGCAGGACTGGGCGGTGTTTCGTTCTGTGGTGCGCAGGGTTGCTATGGGCTAGAACCGACCCATGCACTGAACAACAACAGAATGGACGTGTGTCTTGGAAAACTAAGGGGCTGGGGCCTGGCGGTTGGGTCTTAAGCAGGGTGGTGGGGAAGGCTTCCTTGGGAAGGTGGCGTTTGGAGGAATACTGTGGCTGGAGAGAAAAAATACTGTGAGCCGGGCACCTCTGCGGGGAAGGTTCTAGATAGAGGGCACACCAGGGACCCCAGTGGTAAGTCTGGGGCTCAAGTAACCACACGGAAGCCAGGGGTGCCAGAACAGGGCGTGGAGCCGGGACCGAGGTAGCCGATTCAGGGAATGGGAGGACCAGAGTGAGGCACCGTGCGAGGTTAGGCCGAGGAGGGCCCGCCTGCTCCCAGCTTGCCTCATTCCAGACGCAGAGCCCGGTCTCGCCCTCAGCTCAGAGAAACATGTGCATCAAGCAGGCCCACTTTGGCCCCAGGGGGCACTTGCAGCCAACATGCCAGCAGCACTATTCTGGCCCCTTGGGAGATCTTGGGGGCTGGGGCACCTCAGACCTCAAGGGAGATTATCCCCAGAGTCTCTCAGACAATTTGGGATGCGCTGCCTGGATTTTGGAACAGAAGTCAGAGACTGGGCTGTAGTGCCAGCCTTGTTTGTTTCTCTGGGCCCCAGGTACACCTGGCTGGGGTGGCGTGGGCTCAGGGCCTTGTGGAGCTGATATTCCTCAGTCCATCCCACTAAGCACCCCCCACCCCTGTCCCTAGCTGAGACCGTCCAAGCTGGTCTGCTATAGCATCCTTGGCCCCCCTTAACACCCACTGAGCTCCTTAAGAGCAGGGTTGGGTCCTGTCTTCCCAGCCCAGGGCCTGGGACAGAGTGAGGGTCAGTGTGTGTGATGGAGGGATGGATGTCACCCTCCGGTGGGACCTGGACCAAGTACTTCACAAGGTCACTCAGTGACAGTCACTGAGACAACCCTGAGCCAGGCCACGGTGGCCCAAAGGTGCTGGAGGAGGAGGAGGAGGCCATCTAGTCCCTGTGGACCCACTTCTAGTGGCCGAGTGGCGGGGTGCATGGACAGAGGAATCCCAGCTAGTGGGAAATGGCTGCACCCACACAAAGAGGGAGTGGCTAACTGGGGAGGTGACCGAGGAGGGGCCAGAAAAGAGCTCAAGACTCCAGGCCAGTGGCAGCAGGCTCCATAGGAATGGCCCTACCAGGACGGGCACGGCACTGGCAAAGGCTTGGAGGGTGAAGGAAGGTGGCTCATGGGTGAAACCCCTGGACCAGAGCACACATGCAGGGGAGAAGGAAAACCGTAGTGTTGTGAGGACTCCCCCAAAGGGCTGGGAAGCCAAGCATGGGATCCCCTTTCTTTCTCTAAGCCTCACTTTCAGCTCCTTTCAGACCCACACCCGACTCTGAACCCCGCTCCATCGGGTGAACGAAAACCAAATAAACTCACTGCCATCGACTCAACACCGACTCCAGGACAAGGCAGAGCCACCCCTGTGAATTCCCGAGACTGTCACTGTTGATGGGAGTAGAAAGCCCCATCTTTCTCCCGAGGAGCCGCTGGTGGTTTAGAACTGTTGACCTTGGCACTTAACAGCCAAGCACATAACCATGATGCCACCAGGGCTCCACACTGGGTGAAACCCCACAACAGCCCCCAAGCAGAAGGGTACATCCTGCTGGAGAGATTGACTGCCATCTGACAACCCCAATCCTCTGCCCTGAGTGAAGCTGACCAGCATGGGACCCTAAGAGAGACTGTCAGGGGCAGGGTGCCAGATCCTGGGGGGCCCAGATGCTGGGTAGGGGCAGGAGCTGAGCTGTCAGGGACAGGCAGGCATGGCAGGTTCTCTGGTCCTCCTGGGTTTTGCACTCTGGCTGGAGGATGATCTTTCTGAGAGGTAGACCTTGCTTGTCTGTGCCTTGCCCTAGCTCATGAAAGTGCTGTGTCCCCCTGTCCCGGCTCAGAACCTGGGCTCGACATCCTGGTTCCCCACATCTGGAACCTCGGCTCCAGCCCGAGGCATCTGGGCAGAGTGCTCCTCTTTGCCTCTGTCCAGCCCTTGGGCGCTGGCTGCAGGGCTCCCGGAGGGACACCATGACCTCAGAAGATGTCAGAAAGCAGGTCAAGAAGGACCT